GTCATTTGTAGATCACCCGTGGGGTCTGCGCAGGGTGGTGCACAAGTATGCGGTTCATCCATATGATCCTGGTCAGCCATTTGCAAATCCGTCGTGGGGTCTGCGCCATGTGGGATTAAATGCAGTCCAAGCAGATCATGTTCCAGTCCCTCGGCGTTCGGGGCCACACAGGGTGGGGCACAAGTATGCGGTTCATCCATATGATCCTGGTCAGCCATTTGCAAATCCCCCGTGTGGTCTATGCCTTGCGGGGTTAAATGCAGTCCGAGCTGATCATGTTCCAGGCCCTCGGCATTCGGGGCCGCATGTTGTACAGCTGGGGGACAAACGAACATGGAAGGGCATAAAACATGGTGCTGTGGCTGTGTGCAAGCATCTGGACTGTCTGCAGGAGGCATAGGAGCGGATGTATCCGTTTGGGACAACGGAACCGCGACAACCTGTGGAGGAGGCACAGAGAAAATTGGGGTAGACAAAGAAGCAGGCCGCTGATCTCTGGCCAAGTGGCGATGTTGTGCATGTCGTCGACGATGATACACAATAAGAGGAGTGGCGATGTTTCTAAACAGAAGATGAGGATGTCACTGGCAATGAAGGCGGAACAATGGGAAGAATAGAAACCGGAGAATCGGTTCTCAAACGAGACCGTGGAGGAGATGGGGGTGGTGAGGAGGAACGCAGCCGTCTGCGGCCATATATTGTCACAAGAGTACCAGAGCGCAAATGCGAACAAAAAAGAAAAAAAAAAGAAAAACAGGAAAAAATGAATTCAGTTTTTTATCTTCTTCCTTATAACTGCCCCTGTTCAGAACCTCTTGCGTACAAGGCCGCCCACGTGGATGTAGGTTGAGTGGCGGCTGCCCCCACCCCCGTGTGTCATATCGACCCACTTGCACACAGGCAAAAGGCAAAGAGGCAAAGAAACTGGGATAGTCAGTCCGTCGCACACTCCCTCCAGGCCAGCACGTTGTGAAAAAAAAAAAAAAAAAAAAGGCCAAGTTTGAGATACCCTCCTCGGTTCTATCGAGCCCAGCCAGCTTAGCCGTTTGGTTGACCGTGCAACCCACTCCCCCATGAGGGAGGGAGGTCGCGTGTTCCATCGATTCGTGCGATCGGATCCTGGATGAAAAATGCAATATATTGTCACACTGTGAATCAGAGCGCGAATGCGAAAAAAAGCAAAACAAGGAAAGGAAAAGAGGTAAGGATATCAAGCCCAGACTTGATTGAGCTTGCGATTTCTGCGAAGAGGCAGCGCGCCAAAGGGGCCTATGGTTGGATTGGAGAGAGGGTTAAAAAAGAAAAGGCAGCGTCAAAGGGGAAGGGCGCCCCCCCCCTCCCCCTTTGACGCTGCCTCCTCTTTTCTGAGTGCTTGGAGAAGGGTCAAAGGAAGAATAAAGAAAAAAAGGAGGCAGCGTCAAAGGGAAGGGGGGGGGTGGTTGGAGAAGGGTCAACGGAAGAAGAAAGGAAAAAAAAAAACGAGGAGGCAGCGCCAAAGGGGAGTATGGTTGTTACATACTCCAATGAGTATGGGCAGAACCAAGAATCAACCAATGTAGGATGAGTATAGATGCAACGGAAGTCTGATAAACGGACTGACTCACATAGACTGACTCACATACCATCACTCCACACACATACAATCGTGAGATGGTGGGGTCTGAGCCATACAAAGAAGGTGCTCAGCCCCGTACACACATACACAGATGAATGGGGGAGGAGAGACGAAGGAGGTGGGGTAGGTAGACAGCACTGAAAGTCACCGAGATAGAATCTGATAGGTCACCGATATGGTAGTCCAAAATGTCATCCAACAAGATCAAAATGTCGAGGACAATAGGTCACCAATGTCGGAAGTACRRAGTCCAACTGTAACCGGTGTCCGAACTGCGATGCAGCCGAGTATCAACCCCAACAATCTCCAAGTCTCCAATCAGGTAAGTACCACAGTCTCATATCACCGAAGTCCAACTCTGATCTCTGTCCAACTAGTATAAGTAT